AAAAAAAAAAAAAAGCTTAATGGGTTTGGCCCTCAAAATATTGTAGCACTTTGATGGTTGAACCCAGGGCCTTTATACAAGGATATACCCTTGGCCCTATTTAAAGACTTTTGTTTTTTGAGATAGGGTCTTGCTAAGTTACCCAGCCTGGGCTCAAACTTGTGATCTTCCTGCCTCAACATCCAGGAGTGCTGAGATTACAGGCATGGAACATCATGCCTCAGTGGGACATGATTATTTTTAAGTGTACAAAGAACTCAGTACCTCCCCAAGAGATGACACATATTGCATTCCCACTGTGTAGGTTTGACTCAGGTACATCTTCCTAGACAAGTAATCTTGCGAGCTCCACTTCTGCCATCAAGGACAAGCATGGCTACTAAATCTCATCTGGAACCAACTCAGACAAATGACACCCTGAAGGGGGTCCCCAGGCTGGCTGAGAAGGATCTTGGGGGTGTTTGGGAGCTCCTCTGGAAAGGGGCTATGATCAGCTGGTGCAGAAGGGAGGGGGAGCTGCATGGCACCCCGACAACTCTGCTCTCACACTTACTGTACCTCTACAAGGATTCTGGTGCCCTCGAGTTGCCTTACTGTAGCAAAGAAGGCTTCTTACACGATTTCAGGTAGCAACAAGTAGTTTATAATGACTTCTATCTAAGAGGCTAGTTTTGTCAAAGCTTTATTAGAGAATTCTATGATTTGGAGTGAAAACTAAGATCCTATTGTGACAACCTTTCCTACAGTAGGTAATAAAACAGTACATGCTACAGATTTAAGTAACTGTTTTCTCTTCTTAGAGAATTTACCTGAAATATACAATATCTGATCAAACATTGGATATAAATGCATGTATATCTATGTGTATGTATTTGTGTATGTATATGTATATGATACCTAACTAAAATCATTAAGTGGAAGAAAAACTATAGTCTATCAAAAAACTCTCAGAAAAACCAAGTTTTTGACTATGCACTTAAGATTGTCCAGCCAGGTGTAGTGATGCATGCCTGTAATCCCAGCACGTGGCAGGTTAAGGCAGGAAGATTGCTGTAGTTCGAGGCCATTCTGGGCTACAAAGTGAGCTTAAGGCCAGCCTGGACTGCATAGGTAGACCCTGTCTGATAAAGACCAAAACAAAACAAAACATTGTCCATTACTCTAACTATAAACATTTCAATTTTTTTAAAGTTCAAAAACAATTTATTTTTCAGTAGCACCACACACAATCAAATCACAGTAGGTAAGCATTGGAAAAAAAATTTGTTGTATCACTAGTTTATGCTCTGAGTCAAAACCCAATGACCATCTCTTGTTTGTTTAGAGAAAACTGCCACGAACTTAATACCAAGTCCACCAAAGGGTCTGTTATCCGTGAACAATGGAATAACTTCAAAGGTAGGACTTTAGTCTTTGTCCAGAGCAACACGTGCCTGCAAATCCTGTCTGCTCTTAATCTAGCATCAGCCTAATGAGTTATCTTCCTTTTATTACTGAAAAATTTAAAAATATGCATTCTCCAAGAGATCTTTTCAATTTAGTAAAGGATCGCCCGATTATACATGAAGAATCACATAATCTCAATCCCTTATCCTTATAGGAAGGGGTAATATGGCAGACACATATACATATGACAAATACTGCTCTGAACAGAAGTGTTGAATCAACATAAAAATGGACACTGGCTTTTCACTGTCATAGAAAATATATGGAACCCTACGGGTGCACTTAGATACCCAGATGAAGGTGCAGAAAGTATCCTTCCCCTGTTCAGGTTTAGTGGAGTAGAAGGACGTAGCTGTTTTTATTCCAAATGACACATAACTGGGCATTTAAACACTGATAATGGAAAAGATTAAAGAACTGACCCGACTTCTTGGCGCTGACCCTGGAGTTCTGCCCCCGACAGCCCAAAGCTATCCAAAGAAGGAAGGAGTTCAAAGGATACCTTTTTAGTTTAATACACACATTCTAAGTATCATATAGACGTAGGGTTACTGAAATTGTTGGCAGTAGCCATTTGGACTTCCAGCCTTTCTTTCCTTTGAATCTCAAACCTCCCCAGTGCCTGAGATGATATAGATCATGACTAAAAGATAGTGTGACACATGACTTCAGATCAAAGGACACTTTTTAGAATCAGTCATTAATCAACCACAAGAAGAAAGCAGACCTGCGATTCCATTATACACACACATTATCTGACTGACATCAGGTCCATAAGACTGAGTTACATTGTTTTCCATATTTCTTTATTTGCTGTAAAATTACAAAAGACCAGCAAATAATGCATGTTTTGTTATGGTATTAGGGACCTCTGAGATACTAACAAGACACGCTTGCGATACTGTGGAAGTGTTTGCAAAAGGATGGTACACAGAATGGGCTTTTTCTGCACCACTAATTAACT